TCCGTCAGTCAATATAGTAGTAACTTGATAAACCCCCCATCTCACTATCTCTCAGAGCACACGATACTACTACTGGATGCGGCGCTTTGTACCCGGTCTCAAATCCGAACTATCCTGACGTCCCATAAAACCGGGCGGGGTTCCAAACAGTTCTTCACTTCGAGGGTCCCGCTGCGGGAGGGAGTGCCCCATTCACTCACCACTGGTGGAGTCCATTTCTGGGAACCCAACCCGCCTGAACTCGAGAAATTACTTCTATGGAGTTCGGGTCTAGTGATGACAGCTTGTGTCAGGGCTCCGTAATTAGGAGATGGGAGGGCATTGCTACTGGTGCCGCATCCCTCACAGCAAGTGGGTTGGTGGATGGTTCTGGTGATGTCTGAATGCAAGGGCGATTTGATAATACTCAGAAAATCGAGGCTTCCTTCCCGCACCCGTACAGGTCGTACCATGATGCGCCCCCGAGCCCCTCGAGTCTGGCTAGTCCCGCCATTTCCGACGCCCAAGCATTACTCCCACCGGAACATTCCTGATCATAACACAATCCATTTGCTATGGGGTGGATGCGATACCGAACGCCCGAAGGAGATAAAAAATAATAAAAAAACTATACTGTTTCTGTTATTATTGTACGGGGTCAAGGGACCGACAAAGCTGAATCGACATCTCCGGTTTCCTGTTTCCCAACTTCGAACATATAGAACTCCTTCAAAATCCCCACCACATCCAATTCAGAACACGCACTATCCCATCCTCGGGCGAAAAAGTAATACCAATTGTCGCCTAAGGGACAGGCCGTCATGTGTCCCCATCAAGCTATAACAATGGCCAGGCAGGGCGCCGGCCAGCCACTAATAATGCACACAAGCGATAATTAACTAGGAAAAGCATGCAAACTAGTAGATAACAAAATAGGGAGAGACTAATCTACAATGTGTTGCGCCGAGCCTACCAACCAAACATGCCCGCCGGAGGAAAAGGTGTAAGAGACAAGGTAAAAGGGTGTAATAACTAAACGAGCGGGCGGCGACTTCTACTCAGAGCCAAAAAAAAGAACTAATACAACTCAAGCAACATACTGATACCAAGTCTCACCCCCGGGCAGGCGTTCCATATAGTCTTTATCGATCAATCTACTTCCTCTATTTAGCCCCAACTCCCTCCCTATCTAACAAGGGTGGGGGGGGCATACCTCTCAATCTGCTTCTTGATTTCCGGAACGTCCAACTTTCCCCGATTCTTGGTCTGATCAAGTGTCATCTGAATCAAGTCGTTATGCCTCAACTTCTTCCTGCTCTTCATAATGCGGATGATGGCAGCCTGAGTCTCGTATTGCCTGTCCTGGGCCACGCGTTCAAAGGTCTCTTCCTTCTCCTCCTTCGTTTCTTTGAGCTGTATCTGGTTGATTTTAATGCGGAACTTGGGATCCGAGAAGTGTCGGTTCACGCAGAAGTTGTCTGTCGGGAGGATGTCCTTTCCCTTCGTCTGCTTCTGCAGGACGCGGTGTTTACCGCACGCGAGGGATTGGAGAGTGCGGATCAGTTGTTTGTCCTCTATGAGAGCAGTACGTTAGTTCTGTTCACACCGGAGAGGGCGGGAGTTACCTAGTCCGGTGCCTTCTTTAATTTGTTGATACGAGAGGCAGGTGCCGAATTCCACGTCGTTAAACAATAGGAGGACCACTGCTTGGAGGACACTTAGAACTAGCTCCTTATTCACTTCCTATATTTTTTCCCTATTATTAGCTTACTTCAAGGTTGGGAGCAGCCACTGAAGCGGACCAACCATACCCGTGCAAACCTCGCCCTAAGAACACAGTGTGATAATGCATGCCTCCACATGAGCTTCCTTCCACTATGTTTTTCGCAGTAGACATTTTTATAAGATTCTAGATACTGCGCCATCTCAAGTGGAATGACTATCGGCACTTCATCGTACGTTGGCCATGCTGACTGGGAAAGTACTAGAACGTTGAGATCTACATTTGGTGAATTTTCTGTATGGCTCCTTGTTGTTTTAAAATGCGATATCGCGTCTCGAGATATTTCAATATCCTTGAACATGCTCTCTAGGTTTTGAGTGAATCCGGATCCGCACTCTAGAACAAAAGTCAGCCAGGCCCATAAACATCAACTCAGGATACCAAACCAGTTTTCAATTTAGTTAACATGCTCCGTTCAGCATCTCGACTAGCACTTCTATCCATCAACAGTCTCCTTGCCAGATCCCTTTTATAAAACGCTTCAAATACATCCTTCCCCTGGATGAACCTAAACAGGTCAAGTACCTGGTCCAGCGAATGAGCCAACCTAGCATCTTCATCGCCAGGTGTCCCTGTAGAGGCCCCTTTAGCACCACCTCTCAGTAGCGTATCGACATATTTCGCAATCATTTCGGCCGGCTTCGAATTCACCATCTCTGAACGATCCTTGGTGCGCGCGTTGAGGAATGTGCCGAACGACTCCCTCAAAGCATAAGTCAACGTATCGTCACACTTGAACGGAACCCTGACGAAAGTATCTAAACTACCCTTCAGCTCTAAAAGCCGCTGCACCATCTCATTTTCTCGTCCTTCATCCTCGATTATACTTCTGCCCACAACAAGTATGTATTTCTCCCAAGCGGGCCTTAAATAACTGCTCGGCTCCCCTATCCGATCAACGAGGCTATACAGGATCGCCAAAGATTTATGATCTTGCTTCTGTAAAAGCTCCTCGATACTCCTCTGATCAGTAAGAATAGGCAATTGATTTTTCAGCAATCCCTCCTCGAGTATAAGCCCCATAGATCGCTTCGTAGGTGGATCCAAGCGATATCTCTCACATCTTAATGCCTCCTTGTGTAACTGTTGAGAGCATTCGTCCAAGTACTCCGCAAGGGAGCTAGAAGTTGCCCCCAGCATCCCAAGGCGGCTATAGTATTCTCTAGATATGACTAGAAACCGGGGCTCAAAGTTCGACGTATAGAGGTCTAGACTGTCCACCATGCGAACGGCAGACGTGAGTAGAGAAGCATTGATCGGGCACTGCTGGCGATCGCGTTCGAATAGTGCCATGATCCCGTTCATAAATTTTGTTTCTATTTCCTGGGCCAGTATTATATGGCGCCGAAAGAGTTCTAGTCCGGTAGGCTCCACGGGCTGGAGGCCCGGATTGGTGTTGCCAAGGAGGTAAGAACGGTCCAAGTACAAAAATATGGATCTAATCATCCCCTATATCTCATCAAAATCGGTGTTAGTTCACCTCCATTTATAGGCTCAAACATCCAACTAACCAATTGATTATTCCACTTCTCCCAAGCATTTACAACGCACTTGACAGCGTCATCTTTCCAGCTACCACAGGCCATGATAGAATACTTGAGGTGGTCACCAACATAAGCAGAGCAGCAAGCCTTGAGCCTAGCGTAGAGCTCACCGGCCCTATCGGCTCTACATATATTTTCGGTGCCCCTATACAGCTCCTCCAAGCTAGTGGATATCTTGCGGCTCTCAAAGATCGCCGCAAGTGCAGCTTCCAGAGAGCCCCAAGTCTGATTAAAGTAGACATCTGGGTCAACCCTCGAAGGGTTGCGCAGGTTCTTTATATGAAATTTGCGAGGTGCGCCAGCGTGAGGTTGAAACGGGGCGGGACGCGGGGGCTTAGTCGCAACCATTTTCGCACTTGGGTTTGGCGAGTCTCGAGGGCCAGGCGGGGAGCCTGTGAGATCGACAATCTCGTTCTCAGTAATGTGACGCCAGGCTTGCTCGTTTAAAGGAGTCGACATGTTCTTTGAGTGCTCAGGCTGTTCCGAGTTTTTTCGGGAACGTTTTGGACTGCTTGGGTGGGGGGTGGGTGCGTCCGAGTGTGGGGCGTTGTTTCCAAAGAAATCCGTGATGCTTCTCTGAGAGTAGCCTTGTGACAACTGAGGGGGTTGTAAATTTTGTTTGCGCTTTTTGCCCTGAGATTGCGTCTCCTGATCGAATACCTTCTCCGGCATCTACCAATAGCTCGCCCCGAGCGATGGGAAAACCGTATCGATAGAGTAGGGCGGGTGGTGAAGTGTCTATCGGGAGAGGGATCAATGCGAAGTAGCAAACAAATAATAGGCGTGGGCCGAGTCGGATCTGGGATGACGGACGAGCTAGTCAAGCGTCCGGTCCGGGGCAACGACAGCTGATAGAGTGGAGGTTAACAGCAGAACTGAGAGGCTAGGTGAGGGCCGTAACAGACAGGACGAAAAAGGGGGAGGAACGATGTAGCCGTAGCGGAGATAAGAGAAGGCGAGAGGAGGAGGGCTGTCTGTTCGGGTGAAAAGGATACCGCCGGCACAGTACCAGTAGAAGAGCAGGAGAGAGGGAGAGAAGGGGGAACGATAGGGACAAGGAGAGGGCGAAAAAATCAATTGGCCCTGACTGTCCTCTCCTTGATGCACCGCAGGTAGGTTGTATGGGAAGCGTGCAGGTGGTTTGACGATACTGTATCTCCGGTACTGAGTATTCTCGTAGGTTGGTAATTCTCCCTCACTAGCAATGGATTTCCGAAGCGTTGAGCGCCTCCCCCACATGAAGACCGTAATCTGTGCCAAGACACCATTTCACCTAACCCCGGAACTAACTTATCTTATGCCTTACATGAACTACTCTTTGCCAAAGTTCCAGAATTGTTGTGGGAATGGTTGCCACATCTCGCCCAATCACTTGTGCGTCAACTCGACCCGACCTTGACCATGAGCCTCAAAACATCTGTCTGAATCACCCGTTTGTTCGTTCATTCATTCCTCCCTCGTAATCCATAATAATTATAATAAAATGGACGGGCTACGTAACTGGGTATCCGATAACATTATCAAGGTAAAAATGAAAAATCCTGTCCATTTCCCCACCTTTCCCACCCATAACGAACACTGACCTCGCTAACCTTTTAAAAAGTTCTCCGGTGCTGCGGACTCTACCATCATCGACTTTGTCATAGCTTCTGCCTCCTCCGCGAAATCTGCCTCCTCTCTACACGATAAACTCTCAAGCTTTCTAGATGGCGACTCTTCGGATACCCGTCGGTTTACCTCAACTCTCTATGACCGTGCTCCTCGAAAATCCGGAGGTGCCGGTGGCGCATCGTCCAGGAAAGACAGACCGGTGGAACGGAAGAAAAAGTATTTGTTGTTAGCAATGGATGAGGACGAGGGCGCTTCTTCGGTAATGCCACCGCCTTCTTCGACTACGAGGGAGAGGGGATCAAAAGAGAAGCGTAGGGAAGCCAGGAAGGAAGAGAAACGGGAGAAAAAGAATGGCGAAAGGGATTGGGATTCTGGGAGGGATCGGGACCGGAGCGATAGAGATAGAGACAGCGACAGGGACAGAGTTAGGGATGGTGAAAGCAGGAGCGACAAGGGCCGCAGCGAGAGGGATCGAAAATCTAGGAAACTGCGGAGAAGGGAAGGCGATGACGATAGATGGGGGGACGAGGAATATGAGGAGGAAGAGGAGGCCCAAGAATATTTGTCGCCAGCGAAGCGTGCGCGTGTAGACGGCGATGGGGAGGAGGAAGAGGAACTGGACGAGGAGGCAAAGGCCGAGAAGGAACGACTACGCGATCTTCAGGAACGGGACGAGTTTGCAAAGCGCCTCAAGGAGAAGGACGAAGAGAAGACCAAGAAGTTGGTTGAAGACCGGTCATCTACGAAGGAAGGTAAACAGCTAGCTCAACGGAGAGCCTTGGCAGATGATGCTGCAGCTCGAGCTGCTGCCCTTCCAGACTTGAGGGAGAGGTCACGACAGGAATATCTTAAGAAGCGTGAACTTGAACGTTTGGCCTTGTTACGAAAACAAGTTCAAGACGAACAACAAGAACTACGAGCAAACCCGAATCTCTCTCGAAGAGAGAAGGAAGAATTTACAAAGAACAAGGAAATCCTCCGACTCGCGGAGGAAAGGCTTAGGGTTGATGATCATCTTGATGGGTACATGCTGCCGGAGGACTACATCACCGAGAAGGGCAAGATTGACATGAAAAAGAAGGAAAAGGCGCTCTACCAGCGATATGTAGAGAAGGGGGACGATGGACAGGAACGGTTTGTTACAGAGCAGGAAGAATGGGAGCAACACCAGGCACAAAAAGCAAGTGCACAGATCAGCCGTGCAGAGCGAGTCGACGAGGGAGACTACGAGTATGTCTTTGATGATTCCCAGCAGCTCAAGTTCCTCATGGATAGCACCGACATTGACCAGAACTCTATGTTTTCCGACAAGGAGAGGATTTTCATGGAACAGCAACTCAAGGCAGCAGAGAACAGGGCGAAGACAATCGAGGAAACAAGAAAGTCCCTGCCTATATTCGAATGGCGAACACAATTCCTAGAAGCATTGGAACAGTTTCAAGTCCTCATCATTGTAGGAGAAACCGGTTCTGGAAAAACTACCCAGCTACCGCAATATCTCCACGAAGCCGGCTACACCAAGGAGGGGCTCAAGGTCGGCTGCACCCAACCCCGTCGTGTTGCTGCCATGTCCGTCGCGGCCCGTGTAGCAGAAGAGATGGGGGTCAAAGTCGGGAACGAAGTCGGGTACTCCATCCGCTTCGAGGATGCTACGAGTGACAAGACAATAATTAAGTACATGACCGATGGTATGCTCCTGCGAGAATTCCTCACAGAGCCAGACCTAGGTGGATACTCTGCGCTCATGATCGACGAAGCCCACGAACGCACACTATCAACAGATATCCTCTTTGGCCTCGTCAAAGACATTGCGCGCTTCCGGCCCGATCTCAAGCTACTAATCTCCAGCGCAACCATGGACGCGCAAAAATTCTCTCAATACTTTGATGATGCCCCCATCTTCAACATCCCTGGCCGCCGATACCCCGTAGACGTGCACTACACCCAGCAGCCCGAAGCAAATTACCTAAACGCAGCTATAACTACAATCTTTCAAATTCACACCACCACACCCCCACAAGGCGACATACTAGTCTTCCTAACAGGGCAAGACGAGATTGACGCCGCCGAGCAAAACCTCCAAGAAACCTGCCGTAAACTGGGAAACAAGATCCGTGAGATGATAATATGCCCCATATACGCCAACCTTCCCTCGGAAATGCAAGCCAAAATATTTGAACCCACGCCGGCGGGTGCCAGGAAAGTGGTCCTGGCAACAAACATCGCTGAAACCTCTCTCACTATCGACGGGATAGTATATGTCATAGACCCAGGTTTTGTGAAAGAGAACGTCTACAACCCCCGCACGGGGATGGAATCCCTCGTGGTGACTCCGTGTTCCCGCGCCGCAGCAAAGCAAAGAATGGGCCGAGCCGGTCGTGTTGGGCCCGGAAAGTGCTTCCGGCTGTACACGAAGTGGGCATACCAAAACGAACTTGACGAAAACACCACTCCGGAGATCCAGCGCACGAACCTAAACTCTGTCGTCCTACTACTAAAATCGCTCGGCATAAATGACCTGATAGAATTCGACTTCATGGACCCCCCGCCGGCCGAAACGCTCATCCGTGCACTGGAAAACCTATACGCGTTGGGGGCGCTCAATGATAAGGGCGAGCTAACAAAGATCGGCCGCCAGATGGCCGAATTTCCCACAGACCCCATGCTAGCCAAGGCCATCCTAGCAGCGGACAAGTACGGCTGCGTGGAAGAGGTCCTCTCGATAATCGCCATGCTCGGTGAGTCCTCCTCCCTCTTCTATCGGCCTAAGGACAAGAAGTTCCACGCAGACCAGGCACGCCAGCGCTTCACCAAGAAGGACGGCGGCGACCACCTCTCGCTGCTCAACATCTGGAACCAGTGGGTTGACACAAACTTCAGCTACGTGTGGGCGCGCGAGAACTTCCTGCAGCACAGGAGCCTGTGTCGCGCGCGCGACGTCCGCGACCAGCTTAGCAGGCTTTGCGATAGGGTCGAGGTCACAGTCAGTACGGCGGGTGAGAACAGTACGCAGTTGATACAGAAGGCCATTACCAGTGGGTTTTTTCCCAATGCTGCCCGGCTACAGAGGAGCGGGGATAGCTATCGCACCGTGAAGAACTCGCAAACGGTGCACATTCACCCAAGTAGCTGTCTGTTCGAGGTTAATCCTAAGTGGGTCATTTATTATGAGTTGGTCTTGACAAGTATGTTTTTCTCTATTCCTTGTTTTCCCAGTGGTTTGAGCATGAGTGCTAATTGGTTTATAGGCAAGGAGTTCATGAGAAACGTCATGCCGTTACAGCCAGAGTGGCTGGTAGAGGTTGCACCGCATTACCACAATAAGAAGGACTTGGACACGCTAGGGACAAATAAGAAGATGCCCAAAGTGCAGGGGGCTGTAGCGGAGAAGGCGCCCCCAGGGTAGACTGTGCTATTGGTGGTGTATGTACGATTTTCTAGTTAGATAGAGGGGACACCATCACCCGAATTGATACATTTGTTTTAGTGAAAGTTTGTATGCAAATAAAATTTATATTTGAATTGTCTGCTAACGAGATTGGGTGCAATGATGTGATTGTAGAAATAATCAGAATGCCCCAGAAACCTGCCAGAAAAGACCAAACAGAAAGTCGAGAAATGAAGAAAAGCAAAAAACCAAAAGCAATCACATGTATAAATGCGAAAGAAAAGGCGAAGAAGAAAAAAATGAAGAAAACAAACTGCTCCACCACCGCTACATTACCATTGTTTACGAAGTGTGCCCAGTCGAGCACCTTACAAATCCTACAGATGTCTACTGCGTTCAAGGGCTGCGTATATACTGCTGGTGTTACTTCCTGCACCTGTTTAGCCAACGAATCCTGCCTACTCTGTCCATGTTTGCCTATTATTTTACGATCCGTCTCCCATGGGATGATCCCTCTTAAGCTACGTCGGTACACAGCTCAGCAATCCCGAAAGATGAGATGCCGAAACTAAAATCCTCCAAAGCAAAGAAATAGTGAATAATTTTCAGAGATGCCGAACTGTCTGCAAGAGATGTCCAAGGAAGCCGCAAAAGGTTTATTGCTAAGTTTTGGTTTAATAGATTTCCCGCGATAAAAGGGTTAGATATGATTTTGTGTGCACGACCCCCACAAGCAGAGAATATATATAAGGGGTTTTTTGTTACGATGGCAGGTCAGATAAATTCATCCAAACTCGTCACCTTACCTTTCGCTAATAGAAGCTGAACCTCACTCTATCTTCTGCAATCTCTCTGAAATACCCTTCTATTTGGCCATACCCAAAAAGATCCTTGGCCCCCTGGTCCGCGCCGTAATAAAAGAGTAGATCAACCAAGGCATACGACTGCATTCTCCTGGCGATCCCCAAAGGTGTCAGCCAGGCATGATTGAGAATATTTGGGGATGCTCCCTCGTTCAACAAGCCTTTTATCATGTCCCACCCATTTCCAGAATTAATATCCATAACTGCCCTATGCAAGGGGGTCATTCCGGTTTCGCTGTTCTGGTGATTAATTGTAGCACCAAAACGAATGAGGAGCTGTGCCACAGGCCATGATGCCCGTTCAACCACCCAGTCCAAAGGAGTTTCACCATCAGAGTCCTTAACATTAGGATCTATCCCCGCATTTAGCAACAACTCTGTTACTTCAAAATCATCGCGAGAGGCAGAGAGGTGAAGCAGACTGCCATGACTCCAAGAATTGAGGTTAACATCTGCTCCGAGGCCAATGATATGATTGACCATTTCGGGATCCTTGCTGGCAACAGCGCATTTCAGTGGAGTGCTGTGCATCGCATCGTTTTCGTTAATCGAATATCCCGGTAGCCTTAAAAGAAGTTCAAGGAGACGGTGTTTCCTATGAGTTGCCGCCCATTGAAGGGGAGGCATGTCAGTATCGCTGGCCAGCCTCTGAAGAACGAAGGGCATTGTAATATCGCGCAACTTCTGCGAGACATGGACGAGTGTGGCTAGATCTTCGAGGTCGAGGTGATGCATTGCCATTGTAAGAAGCTCCAGGGGCATTTCCAGAATGTGCGGAGCTATTTTGGAGTTACTAAAATGAAGCAAAGGAGATGAAAATGGCAGCTGTGCCTTTCCAGAGCTCTCGGGCGGGTCGGAATTTTCGCCCGACATTTCGCCAGAAATTACCTATCAAACATTTACCCAATTAGTAGACTGCAAGGCAGAAATGGTTGGTAAATCAAGAAAGATATCAAACAGTGACCACTTACCAAATATGCTAGACCAGCACGGCGGGTTTAGGATTGGCCAACGAGAAATAGCAATCACCAGTGGGCTGTGACCCGTGTCAAATTTGGTCCCAATAACCCCTCAATAAGATCATACCTTGCAAAGATAAATGGCGGACTAGCATAAAGGGTGGTGGTCGAAACGTAGATACCGGCCTCAAAAAAAACCCTAAAAAAAAATCACCGAAAGCACCGGCGGCGAAGTGTCAAAATGCTTTCCGTGAAGCTTAATTCCTAAGGATAGGGATGGAAAGAGAAAGTAGTGGGTAAACGTCGAAGAGAGGCCACCAGGGATGTGAGGATGCAGAGATAGATGGTAGGATCGGGAGACGTGGTAGAGGGCACAGAGAGAATGTGCAGAGGGTGGGAAGAGGGTGGCGAAAGGGCAGGAATGGATGAGGGACAGATGAGGCGAGAGAGATATGGGAAATGTTTGGAGGGGGTGAAGATGATGCTGCAACGTTTACTTTCAAGTGAGATCTACAGAGCCCCACATCGCGAGGAAAAAAGAAAACACGTGTAAAAACTAGGGGCGGAGGAGCTAGTGCCTCATTAGGAAAGAGACTAGTGGTCGCAGTATGATACCGTAGTGCTTATCCAGCCGTTCAAATCCGTATTAGGAAAATTCTCCGTACCAGATTCGCGCACTAGATGATATATTTGGGATATGGCTCCTGGCCTAGAATAGTAAGGCCTTGGTTACTAGTTGGCCGCATTTCACCAATTTACCCTCAATCATTTATATCTCCTGTATAGAAAATGGATTTGCCATTCTTCTAGCTATCACCTAAGCTACTTGCCATCGTCCCTCTGGTCTTTTAACAATATGACACCGGCATCACCTATAACAGGGCTAGGAAACTCGCCAAACATAAGAAAGGATATCAGGATCGTGGTGCCTCAAGCTATCATACCGCTCCAGAAAAGCATCAGAAATATCAAAAAATTCCTTAGTATCATACATAACCGGTAAAAAAATCGGGGGAAAATATGATCTTTAAGAGGACCCGACACCTCGCAAACCCACATGGGAGCCAATCCTACGGCAATCTGCAGAGGTCAGAAGTCTACGTAAAAAAAAAAAAAAAAAAACCCCTCGTGGTGTTCCCTCTGTTCATGAAACCCGCAAACCATTTAGCAACTGGCCACCTATCGAGTGACGAATCATGAAACTGAACGGTAACATGAAGAAATCCATAAAGCAATCAAACCCGGAGAGACACCCCAACCGCGGGCCTCCATGGTTACATTTCAACAAAAATCTCCGAAGATTACCGATGCAGGGCCGGAGAGCTTGACCAAATTCGAAGTCATGGGAAAGTCGCAACTCAGCCCATGCAATGATATGTAACCGAGCATATATATATACACCGGTATATTGCATGTTCCAAAATCACCCGAACATACCGATGCCCGCCTCTTATCACCATTTTCTCAGAAGGTGACTTGAGCCGGAGGAGGTTTAGGCTCAATTCACGAATCGCCAAAGAACCCCCCACAACGATCGCAAAAATTAATCCCAGGCATAAACTCCTTTAGGCGAATTGTTACGAATCACTAGCAGATTTGGGCCAGAGACACGAGAGTCACAGGCTTCATTCCCTCCTTACAGTTATTGCTGCATCCGCTTACTTTCTTCGACTTCAGAAGTCATCACTTCAGTGCGAGGGATCCAACTCGGAGGGCTTCGGTCAGTGCGAGGCCCTCCATTGCTCCCACCACTTGCAGAGAAGGGATATTATCATACTGCCGGTATGCCTCCACAAGTTTAAAGCTAGCTACGAGGCATAGATGTAAATTTAAACCATAGATCTAGCGAGCACCTCCTCCCCTTTGTTTGCCTGCATCACACAACGTGGCTCTCCAGGCACATCGCTAACTCTAGCTTCCATTCCACTTACCACAAATCTTAAATTAAGCCGTGTGCAGTGCCTGCACAGCACTAACTTATGCCGTTCGAGTTGCCTCCTCTGGTAAGGTCTGGTACATCATTTTTTTTGTTTTTCCACCAAGTCTTTCAGAGGCTGAATAAAAAACCACCTTGGCGTGTTTTTCGCCCCCTTTCCATAGAAGGAAATTTTTGACTACGTAGCACACAGTTCATCCTCTAAGAATCTACGGTACCCCCAAACAAGCAACCGTTCCCCGCTACCAGGTATACCACCGACCTAATACCAACCAACCCACTCTACAAGTAGAGTGTCATTTTGTAATCGGAATCGCCCCCGCGTGGCGTCTGAAATATTGCAGCGACAGCCCCCCCCCGCGAATCCTAGATCAATTCCCAGATCATACCTTTGATAACTAGGGCCCGTCACCTGTAGTATAATACCCAATATTATAGAGGCCCCATCATTGGTCCGTCCAACAGATATCTTATGACCTTTACCACACTTGTAGCAGTCACTTGATATGATACCCTAGGCAATCCCCCTAACGAAACAGTACGTCGCCGAGCATTCTACGTGTTTACAAACCCTATTCTGACCCGGGATCTACCTTATAATGTAATGGTTTACTACGGTACACCGTTCCGAGTATGACACCGGATACACCACACTCATTTTCGACCACATCCTCTGCCGCCGGAGCGGAAAACCATGCTCCACGGAACGGCAGCAAGCCCCATCCTTTCATGAAAACAGACAGCAAGCTGCCGGAAGAAAAGTATTCCACCATTACGCCCCCGAGAATAACCCCGGGACACATCAGGGCACATCAAAAAAAACGAAACTTGGCAAGCACTTCAGTCTATCACTCGAAAAGAAATACCGGTACACCCCCACCAAACCACCAGACCTGAAACATGCCCTAATCCTCACCTAATATGACAGCAGGGAACTAATGATGTTTTTTTTTCGATTTTTTTGGCTTTATAGAAAGCGGTGATCATGGTCAAGGATGAGAAGAGAGACCTTCGAGAACAAGTCCCCTGAAGAAATCTCCCGCCCCGCATATTCATAGGTGCGCTTCGGTACATGGTACGTTTCAACCTTCAACGGGTTTCCATTGTGGGCCCTGTGTAACAAGAATCGAACGGCCGCCCTTCTCTCCGATGGAATCAAGTTTCTGCAATTGCGGCAGTTCCGGGCATGGCTCATCCTAATGTTAGCTGTACGGCGCAGACCCATAGTGCTATTTCCTCTCCCCCTGGGCGGGGCGGGCAGGCTCGGAATTATTTGAATATTCGAGGTAATTTATTTTCTCTGCCTTGTTCAACCAGCTTGAGAGAATGGGGGTCCCAGGGTCAATGGGGTACAGTTTCTGCTTGTCGCTATCATAGTCCCTCACTCGTAACACACGTGAGGGGTACTGCGTGCTCGACTACGCATCAGCATTAATGTTATGCGCTGGAAGATTTCTCATACAGCAGACACAGCGCATCAAAAAAGCCATAACGCACTCAAATACCCTACGTATCACCGCCACACCTAGAAGGGTGAGCCGCTCGAGGCCTCTGGCGCTTACCATGGAGCACTAGGAGAGTAACAGTTTCCAAAAAAATTAAAAAAAGAAGAAAACAAATCCTGATACCTTTTAGTTATTACCGGTATACCGTCTGACAGGTAATATAAGAGCCAATTTCGGATATCGTGCATTGCGAGATCTACACAAACGGCAACAACTCCCCAATGAAACGATCTAAGAACCCAGACGGGAATCCTAGGGAGGAGAGAAGTCAGTAACTTGGCGTACCAGATTCAGAATAGCAGCTGAATAAGACGGCGAGCAAAAGAACTCAGTAATCGGCCCAGTATGCAAGGATACTGCCAGTACTCGAGAGGTACTTTGGGGAGAAGACCACCCCACTTCACGAACACGCTAAATGAGGTCCTAACCAAACAACATCGCCGTCTGTACCGTAGAATTATGCACCGTGCTTGTGTTTGAGAATCACTGCGGTGAAAAAACCAGCAAGACCCCACACCTCGTTCCAGATGGTCGGGAGGTGAGAGACGGGGGGCACACATCGACATGCCTCGTCTACCGCGATGCACGAGTCCGAAAGGACGGGATTAGGGAAATCGCTTGCTTCTTCCCTGACGCAATTGAGCTTGCGCTATAGTACCCACAGTACTCGTACATGCTTTGGAATACCGGTATCCTGGAAACGCATAGGACGGGTGGGGTGGGGTGGGGTGTTTGGTGGGCTTACGCTGGTAGGTTGGTAGTGGGGGGGTGGCTTTGTTGGTGCGAGGTTGCCTGTGATTTAGTCAGCTAGGCGACAACAATACTTGCCCATAGTGGGAGCATATCGGTGATTCTGTGGACATTTCTGGACTAGAGGAGACTACCGTAGAGGAGGAGGATGCCAAAGTGGTTCAAGGACGTCGTAGATTACCGTAAGCATAGTGCCTGTGATTGTTCTCGCAAAGGCACCGGCACCAGTAATTGAGTGATGACATACCGGCACGCTCAATTCCTCCAAGGTTCGGCCAGCCAATCATCACTTTCGAGTTCTTTGCCAACGACCCCCAGCATCCCACGACTATTCCTATAATAGCACGATCAGCACAGCCCCAACTCTCTGAAACAGCGCTATCCCAACGATTAAGCAGGAGTCGGGCGGGAGCAAGGATAGTTCAGATAAGTTCCTATTTTCCTTTTTCTCTCCTCGTCAATTTTAACCACTCACGTTAGTAGAAGATCTAACAACCAAGCTTCTATACAAGTACTTGTAAAACCCACGATCCCTTACTTTCAAACAATCCCTTCCAGCTAGGTAATCCCGTGTGTGTGTCCGCCTGGTCCATCAAGTATTCCAGGGCGACGGCAACCCCGCCGGCGGATCGCAGGTTACCGTGATGTAGCCGGACCCCACCACTGCTATCGATAGATATATCCGTCACGTGAAGTATGATAACCAAAACGATGCCGTGATTTTCCTTATCATACGGTACTTCACGTGACGGATACATCCGTCGGCCGCACTCGTAGAAGTCAAGTAAAGCTTAACGAAGGCCACCGCGCAAATAGCCCCTCGCCCAGAAATCCCTACACCAGCACAGGCAGGTCACAGCACTCCTCGGCGTGCTTCCGAGTCAGCTCGTTGTTTTACCAATCCCAGTACCGTAAGCGAACGAGCAAGCCGCTGTGGGATGTCAACGTCCCCATCGCAAACCCACAATTCATACCCTACAAATTGACGGCTACAATACCGTACAACACGGTATCACGCAAACAAATGGCCTGCTCCAGCATCGCGGTGCGATTCCAATAATTTAGAGTTTCGTTCATGCAGGATGCATACAGGGACTCAAGCACCAACTAACTAAACACTATCGTCATTTCCGGCTCATCGCTTCTGTCCCATATGTCGTGCGATACAGTATGCCAGCTACCGCGGCCGCAAGCTTACCTTATATTGCCTCACCTAACTTTAACAGAAAGCCCATCTACAACGTATCCAACAGCATACCGAAA